GAGAGGCTTCCCCACGAGATCCCAACAAATATCCATTAGGCTTCAGACCCACACCCAAGGCACTGTGGCGGGAATTGCCGAAAGCCACTAAATAAAACCATGGTATAAAGCAGCCAACGCACAGTGTCCCATCGAACGAACATCATAACAGAACTGACCGTACCATATAATCAAACGGGACGTGCGCGCGAAGGTCAGGCTGGCCAAAAGAACGAACAGGCGCACCAACGAACGATTGGACGACATACCTAACGTGACAAGCGTCGCGACGTCATGGCGGCCCGTGAGGACATAACGCAACATAATGCAACATAACATATTAGAACATGATAGAAACTACCAAAGTTAAATCCGCGCTCGTACAATCACAACAAATGAGTGGCGCCCTGTCGAACGCAGCATCCACGTCGATGAAAGGCTGGCCACATGACAAAACAGGCGCAGCAACGACCGATTAGACGTCTCGCCGCCCAGTCGAGAGCAGAACATACCAAACCATACGAGTATATAACAGAACATAACCGAATATAACGTGGTAGACTTAGAAGCAGCAGCGAACGAATAATGCCGCCTTTTCAAACGCGACATGCGCGCCGAGCTCAGGCTGGCAACACTAACACATAGTACCAGACTCGGGAGCAGACGCCGAAGGTGTCGTTTGGGATTGCTCGAAGCAGCATGACTTATAAGTATGTTTCTCCTGTCCTGGAAATGGTTCTCAGGGCCAGTCTTCGCCCAACCGCATTCTAACCCATCATCCCACTATTCCTCCTTCCCTCTCATCCTGCCACAGTCTTACCTTCCTTATCCGCCTCCCGCCTCCCCCTCTCCTCGTCCGCTCCGCTTCTCCTTCCCCTCACTCTCCACCTCCTCCTCTCCCCGCTCTCCCCCTCATGCTTCACATCCCCTGGCAGCGTTGACGACGACGACGACGCTGACGACGACAAAGACGCTGACCACGACGACGACGACGACGACGACGGCGGCGACGCAGACGACGACGACGACGACGACAACGACGGCGGCGGCGGCGGCGAGGAGCGACGGCGGCGGCGGGCGCACCCTCTGCCCGCCGGGGGGTGGGGGGAGGGCCACCTGCAGCGCAACGGAGGCCACCAGCGCGAACTCCCAGACACCCAGGTTGGCCTCCAGCGCGTCCAGGGACCGCACCTCGGCAAGACCAAGGCCAGGGGCATCCCAGAGGCGGGGCGTCCAGCAATGGGGGCTCGCAAGTCCTGGCCCGGGGCGCGCGCGCGGACCATGGGGGGCCAGGGAGTTTACTTGAATAAGACAAGGGCCATAAAATCTGCGGATGGCCCGAGCCACGAGATCTACCCCCCTACAATCACCCCCTCTTGGCCGCCCACGAGAATCCCAGATCAATACACAATCGGACAAAGACAACTCGGTCGTCCCGTGCGTTATCCCGTGGTTGTCCTGATATTGGCCCGTGCGGACGCCCTGAGCAGTTGACCCGTCCAGTTGTCCCCACAGCACAACTTGAGATAATCTCAACTCGGCGGCTTCCTTCTCAGACGCCTGGAGCCCCAAGACCGCCCCGTGAGAGCCCAAGACGATCTCAGACTGTCCCCAGACGACCACACGACTCCCAAGAAGGCTGGAGAACGGCCCACGACGGCCCGACAGGGCGCCAAGACATGCATCGGGCGCCGCGGCCGTCCCAGAGCGCGCTGGAATGATCTGAGAGCGTTCTGCAACGCTCTGGGGCGATTTGCCCAGGTCCTGAGCCCGCCCAGCTCGACCAGACCTGGGGGGGGGAGGTGAGCCCAGACATCCGACATCTTCAGCGAGACCAGGGCGTTCTGTGTTCACAAGTTTGGGCCTCTGGGGGCTGGTTTCGGGCCCTCGGGCCGTTGACAAAAAAGAGTGAACAGCCGGCCCCAGGGAAAAAGGTGGGGACTCCGGGGACAGCATCGACGATCATGGAGGATCGGGGATGATCGAGGGCCGAGGATGACCGCGCCTCGACCAGGCCAAGTGGGGAGGTAAAGTAAGTTGGATCATCGTACGTCGATGCGGCAGTTTCGTGTCGTGACCACGCGAGCGTTGATCTCCGACCCCGCGCGGATCGTTGAACTTTGAACGATCGAGGCTTTCTGATCGTGCAGGTCGTTCGATGTTGGCCGATTCTGGGCCACTGGCTGCGTTCAGCCTTGAACGCCCGCGCTGTGGTCGCAGCCGCGTCGACACGCCAGACTCCTGCCGTGCAAAGGTTCTGACTGCCTTCAAAAAGGCACGCCATCCTGCGGTGGAGCGCTTCGTGATATGCGCGCAGGCAGCACCTCTCGACGCCAGCGCTGTTCGCAGCGGGGATCGCGAGGGCTCTGGGCCCCTCCGGGGACCCAGATCTGGCCGAAATTGGCGCGACCCCTCCGAGACGCCGACCGCCGCGTCAATGCGGCACGAGCCTGCCGTACAAGCTTCGGAGCTGGAACCTCGTTTCACCGATGATCGTGCGACGGAACCACGACCAGGACTGAAACCAGACGTGGACACATCGGGGATCTCTGAGATCCGGCGTTCCTGGAGGATGTGGCGGGTTCCGAAAAAACCCTGAACCCAAAACATCGTGACACTATTGGGGGCGCATCTATTACTTCCGCCGGCTCCCGCAAACCTTCCATCGGCTTCCGCCGGCGGAGCCGCCCTCGCTTGCTTCCCCAAGCTTCCGCCGACCTTCCGCCGCCTTTCGCCGTGAAGACATGTCACCTTTTTCGATCCTCCAAGGCCCGGCCGACTCGAGCCCTGGTGCTGGGCCCGCCCGACTCGAGCCCAGAGCCTCGCGGGGCCTCGGGGCCAGGCCGCGGAGCCAGCCGCCGGTGAAGCTGCGGGCACGGATCGGTTGGCTCGGAGGCTGCGACCCTCACAGATCGCCAGGGTCGCCAGAGGTTTTGGGCCCACTTCGAAGGAGAAGCGGGGACCACAGCCACGCAGAACTCATCGGGGGGGGGGGCGACCCTGGGCAGTGGCACGCCCGAGCGTCACCCAGTACAAGACGACACTCAGGCGTGCCACCGCCCAGGGGTCGGCCCCCCCCCGCGACGGGTCCTCGGTGCTGGTGGTGCCTGTGCCTCGTCTGCGCAACTTTCGGTTCAGAAAGGGCCTGTCTGGCGGCCCAGGCCCAGCCTCACGGGATCCTGATCGATGGGTCGTCTAGGAACCGCGCCCACCACGAGTCCCGCAGGGAGCCCGGGGACACTGGCCTGGCCGCGCCACAGCCACCGAGTGGAACCAAGAAAGAGGGAGAGGGCGCAGAGGAAGAGCAGAAAGAAGAGCAACTGGGAGGAGCAGGAGGCGGCGGAGGAGACCGAGGAGGAAGTGGAGGGAACAGTTGGGCCTCGAGATTTGGAGGGAAGAGGAGGGGCTATGGAATCGTTCGGACGGTCGCGGCGATGGTCGGCGGCCGCTGCACTGGGGGCCCCGCGCGGCGCGATCGAGCGCGGCGCGGGCCGCGCCGAGCTCGCAAGCTCAGGCGCGCGCCTCCGCCTCCTCGTCTGGCTGGTCCTGCATCTCGTCGATCGGGAAGCGGACGCGAGCGCTGGTCACACCGCGCTTGCGCGCCTTGGGCCGCAGACCCCGCGCCGCCCTCATCAGGTGCCTGGCGCCCGTTGCACTCGGCGCGGGCGGGCACCCAGCCGCCAACCCTGCGCCCAGGGCACGACCGCCCACGGGTGGCGGAAAACCCGCGGGAGGCGCACTGCCATGCCGCCAGCTCCTCCAGCAGCACCATCCGATTGGCTCGGGTGCTCTGCCTGGCCGCCGACCTGAACGCGCGGGCCTCCGGGCGGCATCTCAAACACTCCCGCGCCATGCGGGACGAGCGACCAATTCCGCGTGCCCAGCCACTCCGTGCGCGTCGCGGCGGGGGCCGTGCAGCGGCAGGCCGCGCAGGTGCGCCCGTCGTCGCCCAGCTCGTGCACCGTGGCGAGAACGACGCCAGCTGCCTGGGGCGCAGCGCGTCGAGCGTGGACCGCAGCAGCCGCCGCCATGCCTTGGTCGCCATCGCCGCGGCCAGGAGCACTCTCGCTCTCCTCAGCGGGCAAGCGCGCGGCGTCGGCGGCGCATCCAGCAGCAGGATCGGCGGCAGCGCTGTCGCGACCCAGCGCTCCCAAGACGCCTCGCTGCACCGCCTGCTCCGCGACCAGGTGCGCGCTCACGTGTGCGACCGCGATCGCCTTTTCTGTCTATTGGGCCCCGTTGCTGGAGATTTAGATCGCGGGGCCGCTGCTCGAGCTGCTGCCACCAGACGTCGTGCGCCGCCAGCTTGCGGGAGCCGAAGGCGACACACCCCGACGAGCACTCGACGCCTCGGATCAGCGCTAACAGCTCGCGGGCGCGGCCCGCGCATCATCTTGGCGCTGCGCATCAACGCGCTGTCCAGGTCCACGACGCCGACGCCGACGGGTCGCAGCTCGGGGATCTCGCGGTCGGTCTCGCCGCTAGCATTGCCAAACACGAACATTGAGGACCAGCTCTCGCAGTGCCCGGGGAACGCAACGTCGACGCCCTCGACGGCCCGCACCTCCGCGCCCGCACGCGGGCCGACAGCTGCCCGAGACTTCGGGGCCCATCCGCGGAGCCAGAAGCAGGGGGCGGCTTTGGCCTTGGCGCAACCCCTGGCCATGCGCGGCACGCTGGCGTCGCGCGCTTCCGAGCCCCCCATTGCACTCGCAGCCCCAGCGGGGGATGAGACGGAGCCCCAGCTCGTGCCCGCGCCCGCCGCGCATAACCCGAACTTGGTCGTCTCCGAACAGCGCGGCCTCGGCCCGTCGAGAAACTGGCCGCGCGCCACCAAGCGCGACGGCCACCGTGACCTCCTCCAGCCGGGGAGCTGTCGCAGCTGCTCGAGAGACGGCTGGAGACCTGGGATCCGCCTGGGAGCTGTCGCAGCTGCTCGAGAGGCGGCTGGAGACCTGGGATCTGCGCCCCCCTCGAGGCCCCCTCCACGCCAGTGCGCTGCAGCGTCGCGCCACGGAGCATTAACGACCGAATCGTCGAACGCCTCCACATTCCGCCGACTGCAGCCACCTGCCAGGGCGTCCGCGACGGGAAGGCCCACGCGTCGCGGCTGCCGTCGGGGAAGACCCTCGCCCGCACGACGGGGCCTGCCAGGTACCAGTCGCGCTCCATCAGCGCGACCATCAGCGCAGAGTCCCTCGATTTCGCGGCGAGGCCGTCGGGCGACCTCGACGTCGCGGACAATCGGCGGCGACGTGGGCCACGCCCGGGTGATCCTCTGCCCTCGGCCTGGGTCGGCATGCCATAGCTGGAACCACCTTCCAACTGAATCCCGAGAAAACTCCCGCGCCAGATCTGCATCGCCGCCTCGGAGCTGGAGCCGCGTGGTCAAGCGCCCCCCTCGTCGAGGCGGCCCAGAGATTGCTGCCGCCCTGCGCTGCAGTTCCAGCATGTCCCGGCCGCGGACGCCGCGGGCCTGGCGGCTGTAGATGGCGCTGGCCTGGCAGGGCATCTCCCCGAGCTCCACGCGCGCGCAGTAGCGCTTGGAGGCCCGAACAAAGCCTCGCACCCCGTGGAGGGCTCGACTGGGCGACGCGCCGACGGCGGGTGGCCCGCCCGGCGCCGAGATCTATCCTCCGGAGCGGAGTCCGCGGCGCTGCGAGCACTCGGTGCCCGCGCCGTCAAACCTGAGCTGCAAACGCCTGGGCGTCGCGATGCAGCGCGCACGCCGCTTCTTCCCTGCAAGGCGACGCTTGCAGTTCAGCCCCCCGCCTGGCCCCGCGCCGCGCGGCCGGGCAGGCTGGGCAATGCGCTGGCTGGACCGCCGATCGGGTCCTAATCAGGCGTCGCGGCGCAATGCCGGGCGAGCATGGGCGCGGGCGCGCGGGCCCGGATGCCCAGCGGCGCTGTCTCCGCGCGCGCGACCGCGTGAAGCGAGCAAGTCGGTCATTGCGCGCGCGCGCCGCCCGCGCCCAGGACCGCGATTCGCTCTCGCGCATCTGATGGCCTTTCCAATGCCTGGCCGGGCCTGGCCGCCCCGCCGCCAAGGGCCGGCGGCGAAGTCGCGCAGTTGCACGGCGACGCGATCGACCATCGGCCCAATGACCCACTCGTCGAATGGTGAGCGGGGGCACCCTGCGCGAGCCACGGCACTTGCTGCGCCCCTGCGCACGAACCTGATTCGCAGACGACGCCGCCACATAACCGCGCGGCCCCGCGGCCAATGCTCCCTGGCGCGCCGATGCCCAAAAAGCGCGCGAAACCGACTGGCGAAACGTCTAGGCCAAGCCGCCCGCCAGCCGAGCGCGGGTTCAAATGGGCGCGAGCGTCGCTCGTCAGCCTCATCCACCCGACCGAATCTACGCGCGCGGGGCCCGAGAACGCGCGCCCTTGCGACGCGTGGCGAGGCCCGGCGGCGCCCCTCTGGGAGGTGCGGTGAGCACCCGCCGCCGTGGCCGCGCGCGCCCCCACCGAGGCCCCACGGAGGCTTCAGGCGCGGGAGCGCGCCGCAGTCGCGGTGCGAGCGTCCTGGCACGGAGGCGCGCGTCGCAACGGCGGCGCGGCGTCCCCCCTGCAATCGCGGGCTGCGTCCACCTGGTCTCTCGCGCGGCGGCGCCCGCGCCCCCCGTCTGGCGCGGCGCCCACCTCGCGCGGTCGTTCAGGCACCGCGTTCTGCAAAGGGAACACGCGACGCACACGCGACGTTGCATAACGCGCCAGGCGAAATTGAGCGCAGAAAAATCGAGGTGCCCTGCAGCCAGCGCAAGCCAGCCAGTTGCCGCCGTTACACAGGAGGCCCCCGATCCGTTCACGCATTTGCGCTGGCGCACCTCGACGCCCTGAGGGCGGGTTCGCTCGCCGACGCGCGGGCGCGATTCCAATAGACCGTCCGCGCGCTCCTCCTCCGTCGAATGCCACGTTGAATAGGTCCACTTGAGCAGCCGCTGGGATAGTTCGGACTCCCGTAGTGAATTGCACAGCTTACCCACAACGCACAACGCACTCCCAAATCTTTTTTCTCCGTCAAGTCTCGCGCCCGGGTGGGCCTTCAATCTGGGCCGCTGGAGGGCGCCGGGAGCGTTCATATTGCAACCGCAGCCACCGATCGCGCGGATGAACTATCTACAGCGGCAGGAAGGCGACGGCCGCAGCTTCTCCCAAACATGAGATTTACGCACGTGTCAACCACAGTCCCCTCCATGCTGACCCACCATCGTCCACATCCGCCTGCTCAGTCGCCTCGTATCCCTCCATGCATCCTCCATTTTGCATGAGGGGCTAACAAAGAACGGGCTGACCCAACATCTCGTGCGCGCCAAGACGCGCCCAGAACATCGTGCCAGGCAGACGCGCAAACAAGGAGTTGTTCTGCCTCAGTCATTGTCAACGTTAACACATTGGCGTTGTCATTAACGGACACGGCCGATCGTGAAATCAATTGCGTTCGGTCGGCGCTGGCTTTAAACAATTCAAAAAGGCTGGACATCGTGTCTCATTCATCTCAGATCGAACTCTTGAAATTTCCCATACCGCACCATGAGGCCTCGACCTGCGTCCCCTTCCCTTTCGATGAGGGGCATCGAGAGGGGGGAATGGGCATAGGGGGGGACGCATCGACCTGGAATCGGCGATACACCGTCGATAGATCGGCGATCGGCCCCCGATAAGGAATCCGCACCTTCCTGGGCGGGGTGGGGCTAGCGGGCCCCCATCGGCGATCAATGGGCGATTGGGGGTCGATGAGTCCCCCTCTATGCCTATCCCCCCCCCCTTATCGTTGCCCCTGATTAGACACGCTCGCAAGCAGACCCCCATCTAGTCCCAACTCTGATTGTTTTTGCCCTTACCTGGGACTCTGACCCCCTCTCGTCGCGAAAACAAAATCACGACGGAAGGTCGTTGACCGTTCTCGGCGGATGGGGGGCCCTTTCCAGGCCCCAGGTCGGCCCAAAGGCGACTCGGGATAAAAAGCTGGTGAGGGGTCCAGACCCCTGTGGAGCCAAGCGTGTACAAAATCACGACTTCGGACGTCTGGGACCTACGATTGTTTGCACCCTTCCCTTGGAGGAGGGAGGCCGAGGAACGAGGTGGATCTGTATCGCTATCTTTCTCCGACGAGGTGAGCGATCTTCTCCTCCTCCTCCTCCTCCTCCCACCTCCGAATTGTGGATCTGCATCGCCATCTGTCTCCGAAGCGAGCGACGCCTGCGCCCGCCGCCGCGAACTCTGGGCGAGGCGCGGCCGGGTCAGCGGTCACGGCCAACACGTGGGGCTTGCTGATAGATCCTATGGCCCGCGCTCCTCGGCTCGCGCTTTCGAAGATGCTCAAGAGCGACCAAAGGGTTCGAGGAGGCCTCCAAATTGGGGTCCGCGCAGGGGGGGTCAGAGGATCGTGCCGCAGCGCCGATGCATCGATAATGTATCGCCGACGGCAGCGATACATCGGCGACGTCGGCGTGGAGAAAATCGGTCTCCATATCGTGCCGCATTGCCGATGCATTCCTCCGACCCCATCCTCTACCTAGAACGCACTCCGACGTCCAGGTTGCTCTACGCGGCACCACGCTGGTCCCGGGCAGGCTGTGAGACATGCTGGACTGCTGTCTTGTTTTCTTTGTGCTGTCTGTCACCGTTGCCTCTTATCCCTCCGGCATTCACTCCTTTCTACTGTCTACAAAGAGGGGGGCGGACGGTTTCAAAAGAGACACCTGGGGGGAGTGTTCCTCAGCCTCCTGGCTGCTCCAGGTTGCCCCAGAATTCCCACAGGGACGCCAAAATACAGCCAGGTGGGCCCAAGAAGCCTCCAGGATGGCCCCACTAAGCCCCGAAAGGAGAACCAAGAAACGAAGACAGCCGAAGATGGCCCCACTATGCCGCTAAGATTGCTGATGAGGGTCCCAAGACGCCCCCGAGATTTCAACTAAAACGCTGAAAACCACAGTGGTTTCAAGGTATGTTGTTTGCCTGCACCACGGTTTGCTCCCACGATGCCCCATTATCGCTTCAAGACGGCCTCGAAAGACAGCTCCAAGGTGACCCCCAAAGGCCCCAAAATGCCGCCCAAAGCGCCCAGGATGACCCATCACGGCCGAAAGCTGACTCAAGGGTGCCCCCCTCCAAGATGGGCCCCAGAGGCCCTCGAGAGATCGTGAAGATCGCGAAGGTGGTCCTAGAGGCCTCAAGATGCCCCCGAGAGGACCCAAAAATAGCCCTCCCAGACTTTCGCAATGCTGTGACAAGATGCCGCAGCCCGGGGGGGCGGCTGCCGCTGCTGCAGCCCATCATCTGATTGGTAGCGCTCGCATAGTCCGCGCGGTCCGGCGCGGCCTCCTTGGAGAGGGAAATGCGACGTGATATGACTGTAGTGGGGAGGGCACGAACTCTGATCAATAAATAATGCTCGGGTAGTTCACGCGACCCAGCGCATCCACCATGGACGGGGAAGCGCGGTACTGGTGAGAATCGCTTGGAAAGGGGGGGACGGGGAAACGTATTACTGGCGGAAAAGCACCCTGATAATTAGCATGTATCCGCTTAGGGGCACGGTCTGAAGCGGCCTCCCAGCAGGGGCACCAGGGATGCTGGTGGGACTGGTGGGGTGGAAAGGGCGCGAACCCTGGTAAAGAACAAGGTACCTTAGTGGAAATGAGCCTTGATAAGTAACATGGGTCCCACATAGCAGGTACGGTCTGGCGCGGCCTTCCTGCAGGAACAAACACGATATTGCTGGGATTGGTTAGGTGGGAAGGGCACACACCATGATGAAGAACAAGACATCCACACAACGGGAAACTGTTATTTGTTGGGGGGCACCAGACAGACGCGAAGGAAGAGGAGGACGAATCAGCAGCGACTACACAGAGGCACGTCAGGACAAGAAATCGGAAGCCGCACGCGACCTCTCCTTTCGGCTCGGCCGAATGGCGCAGGCCTCTGGAATTGGCGGCGAAGACCCTCCTTCGTTGCGCCTGGGCTTGCAGGGGCGCGCCCTAGAGGCCTCCCGGATGGGGTCCGAGCAGATGGGGTCGGAAGATCGCAACGCATCGCCGATGCAATGGCGATGAATCGGCCATGTATCGGCGACATCGACGCTGTATCGGACCCGTTGGCACGGAAAAAATCTGGCTCCACATCGAGCTGCATCGCCGATGCAGCGGCGATGCGGCGGAATCCTTTGACCACGTCTGCTCCGACCCCACGCGGGAGGCCCAGACACCCGAGGGAACGTCTGGGGATGGGCTCCCGGGATCCCTCCGAAACCAAAGCGGCCCTCGCCCCCAGACGTCCGGCGGCTCGACCTCTGTCGAGGCGTGAGCCTCCCTTGCGCGCGTCTCTGCCCCTTGGAAGACGCAGCCAGGACCATGACAACAGCGGACGGGGAAACATCGGGGACCCACTTAGCCGCCGATATGCGGCACCAGAGGTCCCGACCCCTTCCCCAGGGTTAGCCTTTCACCCCGTATAGAAATTTGATGGCCCCCAGGCCCCATAACGGGCCCTGGAGGGGGAAATCATGGAAAAACGCTCCGATTGAAAAATGCTCAGGTCGTCGGAGATCTGGGGACCTCCGAGGTCCAGCGGTTCTGGAGGATGTATCGGGCGCCGCGTCTGTTACAGATCGCTCTGGAACGCCCTGAGAGCGCTCCGGAACGCTAAGTACTCGGCGATGTTGCTCCCTGTCCTGCAGGGCCCTTCCCTAGGGCCAGCTAGCTTCTCATCCCGCGCCGCCGTGATTGGCAGTCCCAGGGGCCTGGAGCCGTCTCCAGAAGTTCACTTCGAAGTCATGGGTTGCCACCCGAGAGAGCGGCCTCGATTCTCCTCGAGCCGCCATGAGCTTGGGTTCCAAGAGGGCATGCGCGCCCCCCGCGGGCCTGGGCGTGGCGACGATGAGGTACGCGGCGAGCGCGCCCGCGTCCACCTCGGCGGGTCGGGGAGGGCCTGCAGACGGCAGCGGTGCCGCGACGGTAGCGGGAGGAGGAAGTGCTAATTCCCGAAGATCGAGTTTCGAGCTTCGAGGACGGAGGCTTCTGATTGTGTGTGTTTTCGGCCCATGTTCGAACTCTCTGGGGAGCCCCTCATGGCCACGGCTGGATCCGCCTCGAAATTTTGGCCTGAACGCATTTCGGGGGCGACCAAGAGGGGGCGTCCAAGAGGGGGGGGAGTCGCAAATCGTGGCCAGCGGCACGTGCGCGGTCCGGGGGGGGGCCAGGGACGTAGTGAAGTGAGAAGAGGCGCCGTGAAATCTGGGGAGCTCTCATGGCCCTCGCCATAATATCCCCCCCCCCTAGTCCTCACCCTCCTCTTGGCCGCCCCCGAATCCTGGCCAGAACGCACTCCAGGAGCTCTGGGGGGCTGGCTCTGAGCCAGAGCGGGGCCCGGGCACGGCCATCTCGGAGGCGTCCGAGGAGGGGGGCCTCCAGGGGGAGGGGGTACCTTCCTCCTCCTCCTCCTCCTCCTCCTCCTCCTCCCTCCCTCCCTCCCTCCCTCCCTCCCTCCCTCCCTCCCTCCCTCCCTCCCTCCCTCCCTCCCTCCCTCCCTGGCCCGCCCTCCCTCCCTCCTCCCTCACCTTCGCCGTCGACGCCAACGACATCTTGCCCTCTCGCCCCCCCCCCGGTGTTGACCATCATAGGCTTCACCAGTGAGGACCATCATAGGCCTCACACCCCTCGCAGCTGCCATCATAGGGGCTGCCTGGGGCCCGCCCTCTCCCACTACTACACCAGTACACTATGCCGTCAATAGGCACCGGAGGGGGCCGAGGACCTCCCTGCAGCCCCTCGGCCAACGAAGACGGCTGCAGGGAGGGGTCCAAACGTACCTCCACCTTCATGCACCAGTCCACCAATACACAAGAAAACCAATTCCTCACATTCCTCCCTGGGGCCGTGAACGGGATTTATCCCCTGCCGGCTGACGGTGCCTGTCAATGTCAGTCATCTAATACTCTGTGGCGTCAGTTGCCAGCCCAGTACACCAGTACACCAAGGGTGACGGTTCGACCCGTGCCGCCGCGGTGTCACATGTGCCGCCGCGGCGTCACTCATGAGGTCCTTCCCGCTCCCCGCCCCTTAACCGAGCTCTCCAAGGACGGGTATGTAAAACCCTCCCAGCCACCTCCGTCTACCACTTGGGGCGCAGGTGTGTGGCTGGGCCTACTCCCCTCCTCCTCCCCCTTCCCCCCCCCCCGCCTTCCTCTAAGGATGGGTATAACCGCCGTCCAGTCTACACGTCCGGAGCAGCGGCCCTCGCCGAGAGCTGTCCAGGGGCCGCCTTGGATCGTCCCCCTCTGTCGCTTTGCTTCGGCTTCAGGTTCCCCGGCCATGGCCCTCTTCCCCTCTTCCCTCCCCTTCGCCCCTCCTGCTCCCCCTCCCCGCTCTCCCCTCCCTCCCCCTTCCCCCCTCCAAGCGGATCCGCGTCATTACTTCCCTCCTTCAGGCTTCCCTGCCAGGACCTTTGCAGGCCTCCACTGCCGCTGGGGTCGCCCCATCAGCTGCACGCGGGGGGCTGGGACTTTCTGCACCCCTGATTGGGGGGTGTGGTCGTGTGCGCGTGTGCGTGTGTGTCTCCGTGTGTGCGTGCTCTGTGTGTGTGTGTGTCTCTGTGTGGTGTACGTCGCACCTACGGGCATACAGGTTGTGGGTACCTCCTCGGAGTGAGGGTTCTCCCTATCACAGGCGCACAATCTGTGGTGCATGCTATCGTGTCTTTCCTGCCTGCCCCTCGGCCGCTGCGTTAGCGGATGGGCCGGCACGCCCAAAAGTAGCATAGCACAGCATAGAAGATGCGCGTTTCTGGTGGTATGGAGTTTGCCGCGTGCCTTGAGTTATGATACGAAATCTCCGTATTTCGTATATTCCGGGTCCGGGGCCGACGTCCCCCCGAGGCGTGCACATCTGTCTTCGTCTCTGCCCCTCTCTCTCTCTCTCTCCGCCCCCTGGCCCCATCCCCCTTTCTGGCCCCTCCTTTTCAGGCTTTCCCCTTACAGGATCTCCCACTTCAGGATCCGCGTTCTTCGGGATCACCTTCGCCGTCGACGCCAACGACATCTTGCCCTCTCGCCCCCCCCCCGGTGTTGACCATCATAGGCTTCACCAGTGAGGACCATCATAGGCCTCACACCCCTCGCAGCTGCCATCATAGGGGCTGCCTGGGGCCCGCCCTCTCCCACTACTACACCAGTACACTATGCCGTCAATAGGCACCGGAGGGGGCCGAGGACCTCCCTGCAGCCCCTCGGCCAACGAAGACGGCTGCAGGGAGGGGTCCAAACGTACCTCCCCACCTTCATGCACCAGTCCACCAATACACCAGAAAACCAATTCCTCACATTCCTCCTCCCTCCTTCCTCCTCCCTCCTCCCTCCTCCCTCCTCCCGAGGCAAGTGCGCGGCCCAGGAGGGACCAGGGGGCCACGCGGAAACAAGAAGAGGGGGCCATGAGGGGCCATGACATCCGCGGCGATGTAATGGCCCCGGCCATGAGATCCACTCCCATCCTGGTCATCACCCCCTCTCTGACCGCCCCCGACCCTCGGGCTTCTCCTCAATCCGGGGGGCTCCTCTCGAGGTCCGTCCCCCTGGCACTGGGGCCAGCAAACAGCGGCCCGGGATGGGGATCAGGTCCCTGGGGTGGGATCGAACGCTCCAGGGGCCCAAGGCACGAAAAAATATGCGGTCGGACGTCTGGGGGGGGGGGTCGTGGACGTTTTTTATCATTCATAGAACGCTTGATCACTCACGCTCCAATATGCCTGCATTGGTCATTGGGAAACATCGCCCAAGCATCTAGCGGGTGTCTACCCTCGCCAATGCGCTCAGAACGTGGCGCCGAGCTGAATCTTGCAGCCGCTGCAGAAGGTGCACAACACTAGACTTGGCTGGCAGCCGCCTCACGAGATCATCAATCTTAAACCCGACAGTTCTGGCTGCGAGCGCATAGGAAACGGGCCCGTCACCCACGCCGCGCTGGCCTGCGCACCGCGTGCTCCATGCTCAGGGGGCGGCGTGCGAAGGTGCATGCCCTCCTCCCCCCTCCTTGTCCCCCCACCTCCGCCCTCCCACACCCCTCCGCATCCCTTCTCGCCCCTGCGCGCCCACAGCAAGACCCTCAAGATCCGAACGGGCCGACATAAGAAAGAACCGACTGGTTCTCTTGAGCCGCGCGCACTCAAGGCACAAAAGGAAGAGGATGGAAGAGAGGAGAGAAAGAGAGAGAGAGAGAGATCAATAGAGAGAGAGAGAGAGAGAACAACAGAGAGGCCCCCGCCCGGCCCTCCGCCCGTTATTCCACTTCCGCCCCCCTCCCCCTCTGCCTCTCGCGCGCGGGCGCGGACCTCCTCCACAGGCTCCATGGGGCCTCCAGGGCTCTTCGGGAGCCTCCGGGGGCACCCGACGGTCCGACCACCGCGAGGGCCCCCGAACGCGCGCGAGCGCGCGCGCTCGCGATTCATCCTCCGGCGGCCCCAGCGGCGGGGCGTGGCCTCACCGGACCAGCGAACGAACGAGCACCGCTGCGGACATCCGTCCGGGGCCCAACCACGGCCTGCGGGCGGGCAAGGCCGTGGCCTCTGAACTCTGGCCTGTCCGGACCACACGCCTCGCGGGACACATCACGAACTGTGACAGAGGGGAGAGGAGGGAGGGGAGGACCTGAGGAGGAGGAGGAGGAGAGCCCGTGGGTCAGGAGGAGGAGGAGGAGGAGGAGGAGGAGGAGGAGGAGGAGGAGGAGGAGGAGGAGGAGCTGGAGCAGGAGCAAATGCTGCGGCTCTTGGTTCGCCAAGGTCCGAGGGACGCAGGAGGAGGACGAGGAGGTCTTCCAGCGCGGCCCACCGAGCACATCGCGAACACCAGCGTGAGCATCGGCCCGAGGCACTCCAGCCTCACGCAGGAGCCGGCGGTTCCTCTCGCGGCGGGCGAAGGAGGTGCAGCGGGGCGACTCGGTGCCGGGGGGCGGCTCCAGGGAGACCTTCCCGCGACCGACTTCGTTCCCCACAGCGAAACGCCACCCCAGAGCATCTTCCTGCGCATCTGCCAGCAATGCGAAACCAATCGTGCTGCCACTAACATCGTGCAGCAGTGGCGGCATCAATCCAGGAAGAGGAAGGGGCGAAGGAGGAAAACAATAGAGGGGGCAAGCCCGATAGAAGAATGCCAATGCCCTTATGGGCTATCATAGGAACGGCCTCCACAGGAAAGGACCTTGGCGTGAAAGGTGCTTCTTGCTGGTACGGAAAGACCTTCGCGGGAACGATGAAGGCCTATCAGGGCCGACTGCAAAATCGAAACCATCGAACAACCATGAGGAACGCTGAATCCGCCGATTCCCACTTGCTGGGGATGCAGAGGCGTGTGAGATGGTTGGCTGACCCCCTCCCCGATTTACCCCTACCCTGGGAGCGAAAGTCCTGTTGGAAAGGGGGGGGGATTGGCCAGGCTCCCCTGCGCACCTCCAGAGCCTCAAGCTCAAGCCGCCGCGGCCGCGAACGCGCCCGAGATGCTCCCTGCGATGGCTCCGACAGGCTGCGGACACGCAAATAAATACACACAAATGACAGGATCCCCTAATGTTTTCTGGGTTTCTGCCTTCCCTCCACTTCCCATAGTTTCCCATATTTTCCTGGGAGTCGACGGGTGATTGTGTCTGTGTGATTTTCCCCTCCTGACAAGAGGGCCTCGAGAGAACCCAAGACAGGCATAGGACATCCTCCTCCTCCTCCTCCTCCTCCTCCTCCTCCTCCTCCTCCTCCCTCCTCCCTCCTCTCCCTCCTCCCTCCTCCCTCCTCCCTCCTCCCTCCTTCCTTCTCCCTCCTCCCTCTCCCCTCCTCCTCCTCCTCCCTCCTCCCTCCTCCCTCCTCCCTCCTCCCTCCTCCTCCCCCTCCCTCCTCCTCCTCCTCCTCCCTCCTCCTCCCCCCTCCCTCCCTCCCTCCCCCCTCCCTCCTCCCTCCCTCCCTCCCCCTCCCTCCCTCCCTCCCTCCCTCCCTCCCCCCTCCTCCCTCCCCTCTCCTGCTCCTCCTCCTCCCCTCCTCCTCTCCTCCTCCTCCTCCTCCCTCCTCCTCCTCCTCCTCCTCCTCCTTTCCTCCTTCCTCCTTCCTCCTTGCTCCTTCCTCCTCCCTCCTCCCTCCTCCCTCCTCCGTCCTCCTCCTCCTGCTCCTCCTCCTCCTCCTCCTGCTCCTCCTCCCCTCCTCCTCCTCCTCCTCCTCCTCCTCCTCCTCCTCCTCCTCCTCCCAAGAGGGTATCACCTGGCAGGCGCACTCGAGATCCCGTAGGGTTGCGGCACGGTGCCTGCGTCCAATCGCTCGTTTCGGGCGGCTGTTTCTCAAGCCGAGAAAATGGCGCGAGAGGCCACCCAGATTAGCTCAAGAGGCACCCACCAGTTAGGGAGGAGGAGGAGAAGGAGGAGGAGGAGGAGGAGGACGAGGAGGAGGAGGCGGCGGAGGAGGCGGAGGCGGAGGCGGAGGCGGAGGAGGAGGAGGGTTTATGGTTTAGGACGGCAACAAAAACCTCGGGGAGTCCCAAGAGGGGCCAAAGCGAGGTCCAGGAGGGGAAACACGCAGGTACCCCGGGAGCCCTCCCCCACAAGATGGACCCCAGGACTTTCTGCATGACCCCGAGAGGCCCCCGAGCAGGCCCCCAGAGGACCTACAACCTAGCTTCAAGAGGCAGCACACGAAGTCTCCAAGAGCACCCCATGAAGCCCCGCAACAGACGCGGAGGAAGATGAAAAAGGACGAATCATTAACCACTACACTCAGACAGAACAACTGGAGCTGGCAAACAACACGCACGAAATCGGAAACCGCACATATCCTCTTCAAGGGATCAGCGGAATGGTGTAAGACTTTTGAATGAAGAACGAAAGTTGTTCGCTGGCCACCGCGAGCATCGACTTCTGCCCCTTCTCCTCCTCCTCCTCGTCCTCCTGCTCCTTCTCCTCGCCCTTGTCCTCCTGCTCCTCCTCTTCCTCCTCCTCCTCGTCGTCAACATCATCATCACTACTAACACTACTACCACCACCACCACAACTACCACCACCACACCCACCACCACCATCATCATCATCGCCACCACCATCACCACCTCCTTCTCCTCCTCCTCCTCATCTTCATCATCATCCTCGTCATCATCAGCAGCAGCATCATCATCGCCATCAGCATCATCATTACCATCATCACCATCACCACCAGCATCATCACCATAATCATCATCAGCATCATAAGCATCGCCGTCATCGTCATCATCATCGTCGCCATCATCATCAGCAACATTTCCAGTGTTAGAGTTATTATCATCATCATACTCACAATCAACAGTTCAAAAACATAATCGTAGTCATAATCGTAATCTGCATCAGCAGCAGCATCTCATCATTAATCATCACCATAATCAACATCATCATTATCCTCAAACTCATTATCATCCTCATCATCATCATCCTCCTCCTCATCCTCATCCTCCCCTCACCAGCTCGTCCTTCACCTCGTCCTCCCCTGTCTCCCCCTGACCTCAAGCTTGCTCATACCCCATGGCATCACAAGGTCCTGCAACGAAGAGCGGGAGCGCAAAAACGACGCAGGCGATGTCAGAGGCCGTGGTCAGGAAGTGCATGCCGAACACCATGGAGAATCCTGCCCGCCGAGCCGCCAGCGCAAAGGCTAGGAGGTGGTCTGGTCCGCATCCGGGGCCTTCCGCTGTCCGGTCAGGAACTTTTGCTCAGCGTGTCGCGGCGGCGGCCGTGGCGACACGCTATGCCCTGTGAGCTGATTGCGTGGCGCTCCGCTCTGCGGGGCGGGAGGCTTCGAAATGCTCGGGACGTGGACGCTTGGGGATTGAGGAATAATTAGCGTGTCGTGCCGAGGCGCGGTGGGCCAGAACCGGCGGCACGACACGCTAGGCCCAGGCTCTCAACCGTACTCCTTGCAATACACCCAGTCCAGCCAGCACCGACCAACTAAAGAGATAGAATCCAGAGCAGAAGCACGCACGAAAGAATCCTACATCTGCTGTAGCATCCAGTGTGGTTGCTGAAATCACAAGCCTCACCCCAGAAACAATACTTCAAGGCCAGTCTGCCAGGTAGCCCTTGACGCACACACACACACACACACGTACACGTACACACACATAAACACACACACACACACGCGCACGCACGTACACGTACACACACACACACACACACACACACACACACACACACACACGCACGCACGCACGCACGCACGCACGCACGCACGCACACACACACACACACACTCTTACACACACACACACTTACACACACACACACACACTTACACTCACTCACACACACACACGCCCACATTTACACACAACCACACACGCACACACGCACACACACACACACACACTTCCTCGGCGACCGCGAGCGCGGCAACGGGGTGAGAAAGTCCAACGGGCAGGTGTAAACTAGACCGAGGTGGCAGCGCGGGCTGACGCGGCAGCCGCTCACTTCGGCGTAGGACTATGAGCATCGCTTAGCTGATCCCTATCCCCATTGGCGTGGCCTGGGAGCCCACTGGCCGACTTACCCACCTAGATGGGTATGCGTGCCTGTTCTGTCGGGTATCGCAAGGCCTATCCCCACTTAAGAGGGTGCACTGGTGGGGCTAAGATACCATGGACCCGTGAAGATGCGGATAGGTTAGACGATGCTGAAACAGAACGGGCCAGCGAAACAGACAAAAACATAGAGGGGACAGATACGAGGGAGACGGGGCGACACACGGACGAGAGGGGAGGCAGCGAGAAGGCAGAGGGAGGACCACACATACGTGCCACAACATTTTTCCTCCGACGTGCCAAAGAGCCCAATCGGCGCCTGTCAAGTAGTGTGGTCAAGCGATGCTCCCACATGCGCGCAGTGGCGACCCGGGGTGGAGAAAGCAGGAGGTGCAGGGCAGGGTGGCGAAGGCGGGGAACGACCGGAGCGAACGAGAGGAAACGAGGTTGGGAGGCACGAGCGCCGCGCGACGACGGCCCCGAGGGCCCGCCAGAGAGCAGGGCGGGTCTGGGCGGAGGAGGAGGAGGAGGGAGGAGGAGGGAGGAGGAGGAGGAGGAGGAGAAAGGCGAGGCGAGGGGCAGGGGAGAGGCGGCGGGGCAGCAAATGCCACCCACGACGGGCGGGTGTCAGAGAGCGCCTCCTCCCCCCGGGCGGGTCCCGGGGAGGTGCCCTCGCTCTGCAGCCAGGCGCACAGCCGCACGGCCTCCAGGGCCGCGAGGCCGAGCAGGGCGCACCTCCTGGGCAAGCGGCCGGCGGAGGAGCAGGGGCTCGGGGGAAGGTCCGTGCTGCTCCGGCGGAGGGGGGGGGAGAGGGGGGAGGAGGAGGAGGAGGGAGGAGGAGGAGGAGAGACGAAGAAGGAGGGGAAAGGAGGGAGGAGGACAGAAGGGGGGAAGGACGGGTGATAAGAAGAGCTTGAAAGGGGACCGAGGGAAGGGGGGGAAAGAAGGAGAGGGGGGCAGGGACTTATACCCTCCTGGGAAATGGCCGAGGATGAGCAGGCGAGAAGGAGGAAGGGGGAAAGGCCCCCGATCGAGGTTCGAGGCTCGAGGCTCCTCCTCAGGCCTCCAACAGGCGTCTCGTCGCCACGGCTGGATTGCCAGTTGAGGTCCTGGCCAGGGAGCGCCCAGGACAAGTCCAGGGGCCATGAACCAAGAACACTACCACCTCTCTTCCTGGGCCTGCGGAGATGGGATCAATGGCACCGCGGTCGGAGCGGCTAATGAGCCACGGCGGCCACGGAAGCAAATGCCAGTCGCGCACAGGATGCGACGCGGAAGGAGGAAGAGAGGCGGCCGCGATCCACCACCACCATTACCACCGCCAATCTCGCGCGAATCGAAACAACAGACCGACATCGATGACCCTCGTCGTTATTTTGGAGTCCCGAAACGGTGCGGTGACAGACCGTGCGGTAACCTCGAAATCCCCGAAAACCTCACCGCACGGTCCGTCAACGCACGGTTTTGGGACCTCGGATGCCCAAGTCGCCCGAGACGTCCTCGG